AGCAAATGTAAAATTAATGCATAAAAAATTAATTTAACATGCATAATTAATATGTTTCTATATATTAAACATGATTTATTAAAACTTTCCTACATGTTCCTAACCACAGGTGGAGAGTAGGTTTCATGCACCCGGCCATAGTATGAAGCGCTTCTTAGATTTATGCCTTAATTTTATCAGTATTGAATCATTGAAGATACAAAATAAAACTCAACGACAAAAGTTCTAGATTTTCTACCTAGAGCCTAATTTGACAGTAAAAGTTTCTAATGGCGCATAGAGATACTAACTTATTTGCATAAATACAAAAAATGTACATACGATAGAGTAACTTGCCTAAACTGGTGCATTCATTATCTTTAGAAGCATTTGTTAAGTCACTAACTGGTAGCGTGGCATATATGGTGACTGCGGTACTGCGAATTAGTCGTATTTTGTGTGCTCCATATTGATAGAGAAGTAGCATAAACATCGCATAATGATAAATTGCATATGTCAACAATATTGACATATTGACAAATGCGTACACTTCTAGGATATCAAGTGACGTTGATTTCATATTGGTACTCGCGGCCAGCATCGCCATTTAAGTATCCCAATTTATGGCATTAGACGCAGTGGACGGTGCAGTGACTTAAAGTCAGCGCCGCAGGTGTACCAATTTGGTTGCTCGCAGAATCTAAGTAAACTAATTGAAATTAACGTTCCTGTACTTGCCGTGAGTTGCGTCTGCGCAAATGCTTAAGCTGCACATGTTGTAACATTTACTGATTAAATTATATATATTTTTTTTTCACTCATATTGATTTGATTATTTTATTTGCTTGGTTATATCGCGTGCTACTGTATCTTTTTTTGATAATACACTTTGCATGCGCATACAAATTGAAATTCCAATAAAAATACTACAGAAAAAAGATTGCTTCAATCTAGTATGTGTGCTGCTTATGACCCACTCTCAACTAAATTCCTTGGATTTTTTTTTGCATTTGGATTTCTAAAACCGAAACCAACCTATAAAGTTTAATTAGGCAGCTTGTTTTTTGTTAGCTTAAAGGCTTTATTTTGACTATAATTTGTTGTGAATTTTGTGGCGTATGTTGTGATTGCACTGAGCCATTTGGATTTCATATCTTTGAATTCGTTTAGAACTAAAGTGCAATATGCAAAATGCAAACTCAATGAAAATGTGCTACCAAACGGGCAATTGAAAAATTTAAATTGTGTTGCAACTTGCAGTCAATATTGGTACTCGAACAAAAATGGGATACATGCTGTGTACATAATTACATTAATGAAAACAAAGACATGTAATAACATACACGTAACAACAGCAACAGCAACAGTAACAGTAGCAGCAACAACTTCAACCAAAAACAACACCAGCAACATCAAATGCACCAATAGCAATAGCAATTGCAACAACAACAACAACAACAAAACCAATAGCAATAGCAATAGCAACAACAAAAACAATAGCAACAACAATAGCAACAGCATCAGCAATGGCAATAGCAACAATAAACAAAATATCAAAATCGTGACCAATTTGGTTTATTTACACGCGTTTAACATGAATCATTTACATGAAACTTAAATAGTTACATTCACACATTATTACTACTATTATTGTTATTGTTATTATTTTATTATGCAAAAATGCATTTCAACAAAAATATATTAAACCATACTTAAGTTAGAAAAAAAATTACAAACTGTCACAAAGCAATTGCACGTTTGCTATTTGACAAATAGGTTGAATTACGTGAAAAACTGGACTAAAGACATTTTCAGATCATTAAAATCAGATCAACTTTTAACTGAAGAAATAAACACTAACACATGATATTCTTAAAACTATTTTAACAAATTGTCCAAAAAAATTAAAATTTGAACTATGATTACTAAATTTTTTATTCATTAATTTTTTTTTACCGAAAGTGACTCCTCTAATGACGAAAAAAAATAATTTAAAAGTTAGAAGGTTTCGAATAGTAATGAAAAGAGAACAACAAAAATTTTAGTTAATTTATTGAAATTTCGCTGACCATACAACGCTGTTTCGAGTATTGCTAAGTACTCGTCATTTTCATTACTCTTCGAACCTTTCAAACTTTTTATATTTCGTAAATACGTTGTTTATGGTATGGTTTATGGATCCAAAATAAAGAAGACATTTTAAAAATAGAACAAATTAACAATAATAATAAAAGTTTTTACATTTGGAAAATACATTTTTCATCGTAGGGTCCAAAATAAAGAACACATTTAAAGAATAAAACAATTTAACTATAATAATAAAACTTTTTATATTTGGTAAAAATATTGTTGATGGTAGGGTCCAAAGTAAAGGAGATATTTTAAGAATTGGAAAACCTCAATCGAGAAACTTACAACTATCTGCGTCAGTATGCAAATCCTTTACTAATATACTGTCGAAATTTCAAATATTTTGCATATAATACAAGTGGAGTTATTGCACCCGACAGCATGTTTCAACTCCTCTTATCTGAGCGGTAATGAACCTCGAACGAAAACTTAATACTAAGTGCTGTTTAAAAATTTATAAACATTTTACTGCAACGAAACTTGTCAAACTAAAATCATAGGGATAATTGCTCACATTGCTGCAGAGTCCATGTGCAGTAAACATAGTTTAGGAATGCTCATGTGGATATAAATGACAAGCTGGACAACCAAAAGCCGTTATCCCCATAGGTACCCTCAAACTAAACATAAATTTATCAAAGCTTATACAGTATCTTCATTGAAATTAGTGGAATTGAATTCAAGTTTACCGAAACCAACAACTTATCGCATTTTAACTAAACATTTTGGATATTTTAAAGTATATATATATAGATAATATCAATTTGAAACAAACCTAACCATTACTTAGTGTTGATTATCTAACTTTCCGCTAATCTCTTTCGAACCTTTTCTTGAAGGCTTCCTCAACATTTTTTTCTCTTCATTACTCTTTTTCTTGAAATTGTTAACTCCACCTTAATAATTCTGTTGACGCGAGTATACCCTACTAAACCCATCACCGCCTCTAATTATCGTTCTTACCCCTAGCTTAGCTAAATTCAAATACAAAAGTCTTTATCTTTCTATCCATGATTACCAAAATATGATCTCAGTCTGAAGTTTTTTGCAATCTGTCGGCAGAGGTCTTCTTAACTCATTCCAAAAAAGTAATTTCAGTGCGATTAAGTCAAAAGTCCATCATTTGAAAATTCAAATACAAAACTCTTTATCTTCCTATCCATTATCACCAAAATGTGTTCTCAGTCAAGTTTTAAGCAATCTGTTGGCTGGGGTGTTCCTAACTCATTCTAAAAAAGTAGTTTCAGTGCGATCAAGTCAAAAGTCATCTCTCTTTCAAGAAATTTATATTGCAAGTTGAATACACATATTGTTGCTACTCACCGATGTATAATATATTAGAAATGTCTTGCCTTTGCCTCGTTAACTTTACGGAATTAAAAATGCTGTCATTAGCGCTACTTTTACACTACGTGTCACTTTACCGTCATCAGGGTTGTTACACCAGCAGCAGGGTTGTTATACCGCCTGGGCTGTTATGCCAGCAGGGTTGTTGTTGTTAGTGGCATTGAAGTTGTCGCCACAATGGCGCACAAGTTGATAATATAGTTGTAAGTTCTATTAAGACAAACGTTTCACGATAACAGATATGCGCCAGATTTTGTGCATAAAAGCATACAAATTTATTCTATAAAAGTAATATTACTTTAATTTAATAAGTATTCATGCAGATTACTTTAAATTTGGCTAGCCAAAATTGTTTTTTTTTAATATTATTTTGTATCTTTTTATAAATAATTATTATGTTTTTTACATCGTTTATTTACTATTATACTTAAAATACAAAAAAAAACTAAGAGCATTGATATTATGCAACATAATATCTTTATTATAGATTTAATTACATTTTTCGAACGATTTTGAATTTTTAATTTCCTCATCCCGATTAAGCATGCAATATAAATTTAAATTGTCAGCAACAACTACCGCTAAAGATACAGAAAATATTCCAATCAATGGCAGTAAATCGAAAAAGGAATAAATAAAGAAGCCATTACGCGCTCTTAACACAAATTGGAAGTTGTATCTAAACATCACTTACAGCCCACAAATTGCCGAATTCGGTGTTTATTGAGTCACCTCATTAAAAGTTGCCAGATTGCACATTTTTTAGCCAAAAAATGCAGGCAGTAATAATTTTGACCACTTTAAGTGCATGAGGACTCATATTTCTTCTTGTTGCGGTTAATTTCAGTTCATTAGGTTAAATTTGTCACGAACGCGACGCGTCGACCGGCGAAGTTTTGGACCAATAGATATTACTACTAACAACATCCACAGATACCTGTACTTGCAGTAAGGAAATATTGCTAAACCAGTTGTAAAATTGCTGTGGGCCAAATTAAAAATTATTGATGTGAAAAAGCATTTGAGAGAACTGTAAAATATTTGCTATTTGAAAGTAAAATTTTTTAAGTATATTAACTAAAATAAAAAATTTTTGATTAAAATCACGACTTATGTAAAAAATACTTTATCTCAACCAAAGCTCAAGTCGATGCATTGCACAATATCAGCCAGCAAAGTGTAACGTAACAAAATAAGTAAATATATTGTAATTTGTATTTATTTATTGTTTTATAAAATTAAACATAAACTAACGAAATGTCAGGCCCCGTTGCCAACAAACACTTCAGTAATACATCAAAACAAACTAAATTTTGATTGGCTGCTGCTTGTATAGCTAATGGAGTCTCTGGAGCGATTTGTCACAGCTGGCTACATGGATTCCCTTCAAACTCGTTAAGTGTTAAAGTATGATGGCTTTTCGCCTCTGGGGCCAGCGAAAAAATGACAAAGTGACACGCTTGTAGGTCATAAAGGTCCTGCCGTGAATTGTCATTGTCGTGAGTTGCATAAAATGTACAAATTTTACTGAAGGAATACACGTATGTTATATGGTAAAGTGTACAGCAAAAACTATCAGATACAATGCATATAATTTATTTTATTTTCTTTGACAACATTTAATCAAAATGCAATTTAAAAACACTGTCAGTAGTGCTGTGACCTTGCTGTCATGAAAACTAAATATGTATTTATTAAAACTGCCGGGAAATTTGTCATATTAATCTTATTTTCATATATGTATATTGTTATAAGTATTAAAAGTGTGTAAGTACATATGTTTTATACTCCACTGAACGACTTCCTTATTTTAAAAGATAAAATTCAGATTTATACATAAATATATTATTTTGAAACTACAATATAATTATTCTAGCAGTTTCCAACATTAATAAACTCTACTTATAATTTTATTGGATGCCAGATCTGAAGAATACGCCAAGTGTGAGCTAAAATCACAACGAAATTCTAATCTTCATCGGCTTAAGCTATAACATAGCACATTCATAAAACATAATCCCTTCTTCTTTCTTATTTAAAGTCAGTTGTTACGATACTACCTCTTGAACACATCCATAACACTTATTATACTCAAGACTTATTATGTTTGTCTTTCCAAACTGATCAATGTATACTATATAATGCTCATTCCATACCGGTGTCTTAGACTTTTTAACTACTTGTGATGCCTTTTTACACTCTGACAAAATTTTCTTGAATTCTTACAATATTATAAAAGTATAACTAAATACAAAAGAGAGCAAAGCATAGATAAAAATAAAGATGGATAGAGTTTGGAAATTTTTTAAATTGTTACAAAATTCATATAAAACACAAAACTTCTATAAACTGTATAAAATTTTTAAACAATGAAAACCGCTTTTACTAAATACTACTAAAATCAACAATGTGATTGTTACCTTATAGCAACCCAGCAATTTGACAGCAAAAGTCAAATTATTACTTTCAGAAAGTTTAATAGTGCCTAGTTATTTTTCAACTGTGAAGTTAGAAATTTGTAATTTCTTCGATTGCTACTGCTATAGAGGTATATAAGAGAAATTTCTGCTGTAAGTGAAATTTTGACTTGACTTATCCAATAAGTAAGTAAAACTATTTAAAATGTGTATAGTTACATATTGTTCATTTGATTTATAAAAAGGTTCACAATTTTAAAATATGTTTTAAGATAGTCCATCATTATCATCCATTAATAATTTTTTTGGTCACTTTGGATGAAATTCTTTCTTTCGAATCAATTGACTTTTATTTTTATACTTATGGGCAGTAATGGATTCAGATTTTATCTGTTCTTACAAAAAAAAAAACAAAACTAATCCATTTTGAATAAACAGCTTCAAGCAGCATTATGTTTCGATATCTTTCAAGTATCTGCTATCTATATAAATTTTAATTCCCTGTCATTTAAAATGGCTACTTTTGATGTTTTTTGGAACAATCAAACAAATTTCGCCATTCAGATTAGATTGTTCAGTTTCAGCTATTTTTATACGTTTAAGATCTGTAAATCTCAAACAATAAACTTTAGAGGAACAGAATGGGCGTAATACTTATCAAACCATTACTGAATTTTCCCGATATAAGCTTCCCATTAAATAATAATGTGTATTCAAATGAAGCAAATATTTTTTTGAATTGTTTTAAAAGTACCAAATATGGAATCAATCAAACAATCATAACTCAATAAATAACGGTTGGAGTTTCATAAAATATCGTCACATACATTTGGCGAGACAGTACAGTACAGCCAGTTTTTAGTCTGCTGTTCCTTTCTGTAAGACAAAGCACGAACAGATTTTAAATAAGACATTAATAGCTAGCGTTATCTCACCGTTGTTAAAATTTTGCTACTTATTTTTTATTTGTAACGTACTAGATGAAAGTGTTACCGAATATCTAAATTAGTCACTTCATAAAGCGTCATATTTTACTTGTCTATGCCTACAAAACAGAAGCAGTTCTTTCGTACTCCAGTAAGACAAAATAAAGCTTACATTTGGGTACATTTTTAGAGAATATACTTTCAATGTGCATGGGTCCTTGTGACCACTATATAACGAAAAGATAAATAGAAAAAGCTTATATCAGAACAGTGTTAATTTACCCTCAATGTTATGTTTACACATATCCTATATACGTAATTAATAATAATACATAATTACAAATCTAATCCTATTTTAAAAAATCTGCTACTAAAAAAATTAGAGTACAACCCTGTCTAATAGAAACTCAACAACCTGTCAGTAATGTCAAATTAGAATTTGGAAAAAGTTTATTTTATTTCATAAACTCAAAGAACTTGATTCTCTAGAACGTTCGTGGACAGATTAAAACAATTAACAACGTATTTATGAAAAAAAATATATATTTGTGTATATTACATTTGTAGCAAAAACACAATATATAATAATGTGAGTAGTTTTTTTAATTTTAATTATTTTATATATAGCTCAGCTGTGAACTATAATAATCTTGAAAAGACGTGGCATATTCACAAAAATATTAATAGTAACTTCTATTAAACTAATATAAAAAACAAATTGGTTAGGGTAAAAGGTAATGACTGACAAAAAACTGTTTTCTAAAACAATAAATCCATCTATTGATTTTAAATTATTTGTTAAGATGTAATAGCTTAAAAATGTTTGCATCTATTAGGTTCGATTATCCATTACTGAATTATAAATTTCATTTAGACCCTAAATCTTCCTTTTAGGTCACGCTCTTCTGATCGTTCCACTTCTTTCTCTGTCTCTCTTTCTCTATTTATTTTTCTCTCTCTTTCTCCCTCTCTAATTCCCACTTCTTAACTTTCATTACTAACCTTTCTCTCTTATATCTTATTTCTTAAATGCATATTTTCTTTGATCCCTTAGCTCCAACGTAAATTGTAAACTGGATTACATCAAAAAAGCCAAAATTTAAAATTAAATTTCATAATTTCTTTTCGCAAAACTATTCAAAAAAAGTTTATTAATATGAGTGGAAAAGAGAAAGGGTAAATATTCAATTAAAAAATATTAAAGTTAAAAGTTATATTTCATTTCTACTTTTTTTTTGGTTTTCAATTATTCAGTAATCATGTCTACAAATTGCTTTGCCCCTATGATCCTACTTCTCCACTTATAAATGACTATAATGCTGGTGATTTAGTATGTTCAAAGTGTGGCCTAGTTGTAGGAGATCGAGTGATTGACGTCCATCAAGAATGGCGTATGTTTCATAATGACGAAAAGTCCGAACAACGCAGTCGTGTCGGTGATCCGGAAATTAATCTACTAGGCAATAATAATCTTTCCACCTCACTTGCCTTCCCAAAAAACTTCAACAGAAAAATCAAATCATCTCTATTAAATTCACCGCTAAGCTTTAGTTATACCGGTAACCGTACCCTACAACCAGCATTTCGTGCAATCAATGATATGGCTGATCGCGTCAATGCACCATCTCATATCGCTGACCGTGCTTGTGACATATACAAACAGGTATATATAGAACAATTATTCAACTGACAAATCACGTGTTTATTTCTTTTAGGTTCATGACCTTAAACGTCATTCATATTATTCGAATTTTACAAGGGCGGCATCATGCTTATACATAGCTTGTCGGCAGGAAGGTTCGCCAAGAACATTAAGGGAAATATGTGCAGCTGCTACAGTCGATAAAAAAGAGCTGGGACGTTGCTATATGCTTATTTTAAAATTGCTTGGAATTAGTGCCGGTGGAATAGATGGATCTGACTATATGAATCGTTTCTGTTCCTTTTTAGGTAAGTAATCAAAATTGTGAACATTTATCGCTTAACAATAAAATAATTGTATAGGTCTTGATGAATCGGTGAAAGATGCAGCAATACATATTTCTGAAAAAACGGTAGAAATGGAATTATGTTCGGGTAGATCACCAATATCCATTGCTGCTGCTGCAATTCTAATGGCTTGCAAAGTACGAAATATATTAATAAATAAACTTACACAAGTTTTAAATTTCAATAAAAACTTTATTATATATGTAATTATAGATTGCAGATCTTAATGTTACACAAAAAAGGATAAGTGAAGTCGCAGGTATTACATATGTTACAGTTAGCGGATGCTTCAAACTTATGGTTCCGTATGCAGAGGAGTTGATGCCACGAAATTCTAAATTTCCAACTCCGACTGGTTATGAACTGGAAAGGTTACTCGCCAAAAAAGTTATGTATGACGAAAAGCCTGGTGAAATTTTGACAACACAAGAGTCTATATTCTCATCACCATACGCGGATAGAGTGGAAAAACTATTAGCAAAGAACCGAGGTACAGATCAATTATATGGTAAAGAGCAAGTACCGATCACCACTAAAATTCCAAAAACTAATATCGATAAACTGCAAAAACTACTGCAAGATGAATATGGTTCTGCCGAAAGCAATTCTAAAGACAACGTTGGCAAATCAGTTGATACACAAAACGACAAACTACAAGCACAAAATATTGGAACTGATATAAAATATAATGAAAACTTAAAGACTCAAAACATGAACTATTCAACATTATACAAAGAGGAGATGGTAAAGTTGCTTTCACAACAACAACTACAATTGGGTGTGAATGATAAGAGCATTACGCAATCAAACACATTTCAAAAAGAATATGCTGAACATTTGGCTAAAGTACTAAAGCAAAACGGAACTGGTGTAAAGTTGCAATCGCAGAACACCATCACTCCAAAGACAACAACTGTGCAAAGAATCCAGTTCGCGGGAAAAAAGTATGAAAATGGGTCAATGTTTAATGAGCAGTTAGTAAAACAAACCTGTCAGTGTCCCACACAATACAATGATGAGTTAGCAAAACAAGAGTTATTGAAGAAGTGGAACTCTGAGGAGAAAACAAAACCTAAGGAGTCCAAAACCAAATTGCCATATGCCGACATATTGACGAAAGTAAGATCAAAAAAATTCAATCCAGAAAATCAAAATGATCCAAATTTGATATCGAAAGAAGCTACAATCTTAAAACGAAGATCTGACGAAGTAGTTAGGTTCGCTTTGAAAAAAGCATACA